GGAGGGGGGAGGGCAGGAGGGGATGAAACGCGGAGGGGATCGACAGGAGCGAATGAAGACCGTCCAGATCCTGGCTCGAATAATCCTTCGCCTTTTTTTCATGAGTTTTAAATTCTAATTCCTTTGCCGTAAAATTCGCAATGTATCCTCGTCCACAGTTCGATCCTCGGTAAAGAGGCTGTGATTGTTTACGACAATTTTTTGACGGAAATAATCGCGTGCTTCGCGATATTATTATATTAAATTACAACACGCGGAGAGGGTGAGAAAATTATCCGTCCCTGAAACTAAGGAGTCGTGTACGTCGGCGTTGGCGGGCTCGCGCAGAAGCCGCTCGATAAAGACCGTCCGCACCCCTCGGCACCCCTCGGCACCTCACGACCCTGCCCTACAAACGGAAAATCTGGTGTAGTAGGACTTGCATATGAACTACTGGGCTACACTTGCGTCGTAACCGATTGCCGATATATGTGTATGTATGCGTGTGTGTGTGCATGCGCGCGCGTGTGAACAACATGATCTTGAATGGGCTCGTAGCTTGTTGAAGCATGTTGCCGAGAAGCGCGCTCCTTTCTACATCCTCCTCCCGCGCTTCTCTCTGCGCGCTGAACAGATGCGTTGCATATGCGTGGCAAAAGATTTAAAAAAAAGTATTTTCTTCTTTCGTGAGAAACCATGTCGTACACACTTCATATAGAAAATTAGAATCCTTCAATCGCTCGTATGCTCATGGATCGATCGCGATTACAATCGTAGAACGCGAATTCACTCTGATTCGCGTTCACATTATTCAACGATTACATAATACAAATTTTTTTAATAATGTGATTCAGGGATTATACTTCTTCTGTTAGACACATTTTCATGTGCGGTTCGATATTGATGTATGTATATTAAATTTTAAATAAATTAATAAGTAACAATTATGACTGTTTAATACTAATTAATATTGAAACGTGGATAAAATCAGAACTTAAAGTTATTGCAAACATAAAGATTTGTGTGTTCTACTTTTAGCTGAGTATTTATTAGCGGATTTTGTACAGCTGCTATTCTCTCGATTATTGTTCTAGGATTCAGAATTTTTATCTTTATTTTTCGTATCATTAATCTTGAGTATTCTTATATTTTTATAAAATTGCTTCTCGTTACAGGAGAAAGTAGGGTAAAACCGGATAGGCGGGTCAAACCGGGTATCTCTGTTTCTTCGTGATAAGTGCTACTATCTTTGGCTAGCTCGGATTATTAGTTGTAGATTGATGCCAACATTATTTTGAGATGAACCGCGCCCACGTGCATACGATATTTCTTTTTTGAGAGGTTCAAAATTATCGGGCCAAAAAAGATCGATATCCGGGCAATAATCGAGTCGTTATGGACTTTTTCTACACAGAGCATCCGCTTCGGTAAATGCAGCATTGTATTCTGTACATATTAGAGAGTATATCGCATTAGTTTTGATCAAGATCTTTATTTGTGATTTTTACCCTACTGGTAGGGCAAAACCGGGTATTTTGACTTCTCCAAGAAATCTTGTTATCCTTGGTAACCAAATTTTTTTTTTTTTCAGCAATTAGCCTCATTTCCTCATAGTTTAAGATCCACTAAAAACTACTAACGGTCAACAAAATTTCTTTTACTCTCTGATTTTTTGTATGAAGACAAATCGAAAAAACCATTTTTACCCATTTTTACCCTACTTTCCCCTATATGCGCAATGACATGAAGTATAATTTTCGGTCAACCTCCTCTAGCGCATACCTCTTCGCGAAATATATTCTCCTGTTAACTTCTGGTAATTCAGAAACGAATTTTCGAGCACTTTAAGACACATTACCGCTCGTGAACGCTATTATCGCGCAATCTCTTCGCAAAATACATTCTCCTATAAACTCAGACCTCAGACACGAATTTTCGAGGATATTTAAAGACACAAAATTAATACTCGTGATCTGCATTATTAATACTAACATACCTCTTTGCGAAATACATATATAGTTTCCTAATATCTCAGAAATAAATTTTCAAGCGTATTAAAAGATATCTTGTTTTGAAACTGTGAACTGCATTATTTTTTCGCAAAATATATTCTTTTAATAAATAACAGCCTAATAAATAAAATCGATTTGCTTTATTTACCGCTCAACATATTTTAACACATATATTGTATCTAGTCATTTAAAGAAATGATATCTCGTTTGCGATATTTAATACCGTTTTATGTGCTTTTTCTCTCGTTTTTATTTTCGTTACTGATTTTCCTATGTATTCAATTTTCGCTTTTTAAACTGCTGATACTTATGTCTAATTTATATATTAGAGAGATGTCTCGTGTTAGTAATGAAATAAATAAAGAAATTTATGAAAAATTGCAATAGAACGTTGGAAGACCAATAAAATTTTATAATACTGAAAAATAATATAAATTTGCCGGAAATGATATAATCTACCATATGATAAAGATATTAAAGCCTTGTGAATGGAGAAGCAAAAAACACATTTTATTATAATTACCATGTAAATACTGTATTATAAATTTACTTTTTGTGTGTAACTGTAATAAAACATCGAAATTTCGATAAAATAGCATCGTACATGAAATGAAAGCTCTTAAAATATAATTTTGAGCGAGGAATTCGTGCCATATCATTCAGATAATTACAATATTTCGATAAGCCCTGTGGACAAATTAATGTCAGAGAAGATCGATCGATTCATCCTATTATGTTCATTATCAAACGCCGCACATTTATTCGCGTGGTATATTTACAATGTGAAGCATTTCCCACCTTAATGACTGAACGAGAGAGAATAGTATCGTATTATATGTATTTTATAAGTAAGGAGAAACTCATACCATCTCATTGTCATCTCTTTCATCCAAGAGTTGCTATAGAAACAGAGGATCCGTCGTACTAAAACAAGCGCATTTCGAGAGGGACGCAGATTTCCGCAGATCCACTCTACCACAGTCTACACAGTGTGAAATTTGCTCAGTTTACTTAAATAAAAGAACAAAATATTCGATTGATTAAGAAATAAATACTTTTGAAAATATTTTGTTCTTTGTTCTATCTAAAATATTTTATTTTCTATATTTTAGCATAATTTGGAATAACTGCTAAGCATACAGACACACACATATTTTATAATCATATTTTTATAGCAAGATAATGAAAAGAATTAATAAATTAAATAAAATTTATCTTTCATATTAAAAAAGGGCAATCATATACAATTTTTTGATATAAAGTTTAATTAATTACATTAGCAAACTTAAAAAATAAATTATCTACCAAATCTTTTCTATTTTTTTTTCTTATTTTATATCTAAAAATGTTAAAATAGTCATCAAAAATATATGTAATATATATATATATATATATATATACACATATATATTCTTAAACAAATTAATTTTAAAACAGAAGGAAAATGTAAAGAATATTTCTCTTCTATTTGGACAGATGAAATATTTTTGTTCTCCTATCACGTATAAATTGTACACTGCGACGTCCATTACGCTATTCAATCTAATAATACAGTATCGGACATATGTGTATATGCATATATTGTACGTCATTTATTGCTCGGGCAAAAAATTGTACCGACATACATCGCTCCAAAATTATCAGCAATTTACGTAGAGAAAAATCACCACAAATAGAAGAAATATAAAAAAGTATAGAAAAAATTTTATTTATAATAAACTTATTACCAAATAATTCTAGTAAAAAGTCTAAAGTCCTAAAGTATATGTATAATAATTATATATTAATTGTGTGTGTACATATATGTACATATATTGTACATTATATCATTATAATACATCATTTAAATAGCATCCAATTAATCTCCGCTAATATTTTAATCTTAGACATAGGAATTCATCATTACAGTTTATCCTTCAACGATATAGTAAATTTTCGATAAGAGCACATAATAGATATCTGCAATAGAAAAGTAGAAGTAAATCGTACTGTTGTAACATCACCGCTTTTAATATAAAAGCGCCTGCTGCTGATTATTGATTCTTTAATTTCTTCTCGATGATGAAAATATCCTTCTCAGCGGGAACGTAACATATTAAAATCAAGCCGAGAAGTACCAAGGAAGTTCCGCACCACCAGACCAGCGATGTAGATTCGTCAAACACGATGAAGCCTACAAAAGCCTTCAACAAAAAAAAAAAAACACATTAAGTTTTACATTCTTGCAGAAAATCTGGAAAATTGAATAAAATAACAAAATGTTATAGAAAATATAAAAATATATTTATATTACATTTTTAAGGTTTGAGCTATGAATAATTTCAACTGTACGAGAAAAAGATATGTATGGGCATGTAGATTTTGTTATATTTTATATATATATATATATATTTATATATATATATATATATATATATTTTACTTATTCGCGAACACTTCGATACGCAAAATCACGATAGAGAAAATATGCACATTAACGAATTAAAAGTCCGATATATTTTTATTTCACAATCTAAAAATTGAACGTAAATACTTCTGTAATATATTAGTTATTTTAACATAATGCGTTATACATAACGATATTTAGTTTATAATTATATAGCTCAAAATTTAAAGATTAAAAATTATTGAGACCTTTGCACTGTCTCTTTCTGCAAAAAAAGAGTTAAAACAATCCAATTGACTCGTCCAAGTAAAATAGAAAAATTTATATTACGAAAAGTTAAACTTATTTTGACTATTGTATTATTTCGAAATAGATCTTTTAATCATTTACAAAAAATTATAGATCTTATATCTCGCCAATGATCTTGAACTTATACATTGTACAAGGTAATGTCGCATTTTTCAGTGTCAGCTAGATTCCGAATCAAATGAGTATTCTTACTTCTGAGATATGTCTAGAAAGAAATACTTTACCGAACGTTGTATTTTTTATCTAATAGGTGTAAATAATTATCCTTTTTACAAAATTAAAATCTTTTCTTATTTTTGCATTTGAATATCTCTTATAAAAAAAAAGTATTGAAGATTAACGAGGTTGACGAGCCACGTGTTTGATATAGCTGATATATAGAACGAACTATGTGACAAATATACATATAACTGCATCTTTATTTTTCGAAGATTGGTAAAGTCGATAACGTTCTTATATCCTCACAAGTCCAAACTTAATCTCGTAAATGTTTAATCTCGACACAATCAATATTTTATTAAATCAATTTCCGTAGAAAATTACAGGAATATTACAATTTGTAAAATCATCAAAGATATATGTCTGATTTTTTTAATTTCTACCCAATAGATTAAAAATAAAATAATAATACTAAAATTGTAAAATTTTTTAAGGTTAACGAGAATGACACACATATCTAAATGAAATGAATATAATTTTTATAAAAAATGCAAGAGAAAAAAGCGGGATATATATATTCTTCAGTGTAAAAGAAATGGCGAACATAATATTTCTATTGATCGTGTAATAATTCCGGCGTGAACGCATAAAGTGCACCACTATCTAGATTGCGTTTTAATAGCATGTATCACATCGTATATAGTTCTCCTTCAATCGCCACGTAGCTGTGCACATATAATTGCTATGACCGCATTGTGCACGCTCGCGGAATTGCGTCTAGTTCGCGAAACAACTTTCACTCATTGCGAGCCGACTCTCGGAAATATATTAATCTGATTATATTGTTGGCCATAGAGACGAACAATTGCGCGATCTGACAAATATTTTTTATCATAACTTATTCTCGTCTGCCATTCCATTTCGCTATATTTTGTTAAGACTTTTTATAAGCATGAAGACAATGTCCCTCCTATCTTAAATTAACGATAAATTTATCAATTGAAAATCGATTGTTTTTCTTTAGCGTAATATCAGGGAGGTCATTTTTCAATTTACGTATTATATCTTTATAAACCACAAATTAAAATTCTATTAAAGCATAATCCCTTTTTGAAGTCAATTGAGAAATATACTTGTATTATTATTACTGTATTATACATATATTTATTCTCATAGTTTTTAATTTTTTGTTAAATTGTTTTTTCTTTCGTCGCTTGTAACTTGAAAACAATTATTAATATTTCGAAATCTTCGTTAAAGATTTTGAATTAAAATCCATCAAAAATTCGTTTATTAAACTTAAGATTTAGATTAAGATATTGCACACTTTATATTATATTTATTAATTTGTTATTCAATAAAAATAAGTATTATTTTTTTAAGATTAATAACTCACTGAACAAACATAGTTTGTAGCTGCGCTGGCGACCGTCACCGGCAAAGAAGATCCGCTGCCATGAAGCGCTTTGACAAAAAATGTGCATCCCACGGTGTTGCACACGATCATAAAGACCAGAAGTGCTCCTTTTAGTAGTAACTGCGCCTTTTTGCGAGAGAGAAAATAAGTATGTAAACATTATACTACTCTATAATTATATTTCGTCATTTATATAGCCTCGAATCTTTAAGCGGATAATCTATTTTTAATCCCTCAATTTTCGATCGCTCGTTTTACTTATATTATCGAATATACGAATTAATAGCTTTGCAAAAAAAAAAAAAGAAAAGAAAGGTCTCGCAATAATATACATATTTTCTTCGTCATTATTTCCAAATATCGTTTCGATTCCTCGTACATATATCGCGCGAATCAACGCTGTTGTTTTATTGACGATTCGAATCTGCCGCCAACTCACCAATGACGATGCGTCGTTAGCGCCGGCGAGCTTACCCAGGAGGCTGCCACTGGTCGCGAAAACGCCAGCGACGACCGCAAGATATGCCCCGCTACCGCGGTATCCTTCCATATCGGTAGATAACGGCGAGATCTGGATTCTCTCTCTCTCTCTCTCTCTGGATCCTGCTGGATCCAGACCCAGACATCGATTCGATGAGCGGCACCCAAAGTCGTTGTATCTCTTATTCGCGGTACCAAAGAGGAAGACACGTGAAACGATAAAATTCGCACTGTTTGAAACGAGGATTAAATAGCTTGAATGACAAGGCAGCGATATCGAGCGTGATCGGATGAATGATGGCGAACGAGCATGCGCCCTGCCGATGGCGGAACGCGCATTTGCAGTCAAATAATCACCAGAGCGAATTAATTAATTTTATTATTTCAGCTTCGATAAAAGATATACAAAAATAGAACATATGGATATTTTATACATATAATATATTAAAAATTTGACAAGCATTAATTTCACGGGCTTTCACGATGTTTATCATTTCTTGCAAATTATAATTATTATTCGCCAAGAATTTGTTTATTTTTATTTGTATTATATATACAAAATATTTAAAAAGATTAAAGCATATTATTTAAGCTGAATTTACTACATATTTGACAAAAGTGTAATTACGATAAGGAAGAAGAGCAAAGAATATAGATGTGAACATAATCGCATATGCGTCAATGATACACTCTATTCTCACGATACATATGTCACATATACATATGTGATAACGATAATTTTTTTGTTATCAAATTTTTCGTACATAATTAAAAATACGTGTTATACGAACGCGGAAGTACATATGTGAAAAGTAGAACGCGATCTAAAAATTTGAAATGTGCATATTAATCATACCGAGGCGATCTGACACAAAAAAATATGGCAAGTAGAGAGAGAGAGAGAGAGAGAGAGAGAGAGAGAGAGAGCAACAGTTGCAGCTCCAAGCCGCGTTTCAAAATTCACCCAAGCGCAGCCCCCATTCGCTCTTTATCCATTAATAAGCTCCGTCCAGATTAAGAATTCCAACGTCGCGCGAATAACAGGGAGCGATACCTCGCTTAGGCTGCGTTCGGAAACATCACCCGTGTGCGCACGAGTATCGTTCTATCTTTGTTCAACTTTTAGTAAATAACAAAGATAGAACGACGCTCGTGTGCACACGGGTGATGTTTCCGAACGCAGCCTTATCGACTGGCTGGCACATAATGCAGAACGGTTACGCAACGGCGTTTCGTTCTCGCGACCGTAAGTCATAATCGTCGTTATCGTCGCGGGTCGCGGGCGAGAAGTGGTGGAAGCGCCGCTGTTAATCGCGTGGTCGCTGGTCGCTCGCGCGCAAGGTCGGCGCCGATCGGCGATCGCGTTAAATCTAAATCTATAAATGCTTCGACTTCGACTTTGGCGGGCGAGCTGGGGCGAGCGAGCGCGTATCCACCGAGTCGGTTCGTTCGCGATGCGAACCAGCTGAAACGAGCTTGCCGTTTGCCGCCGGGATCCGATCAGGCGCGGTAAATGGTGACGCGAGAGACGGAACGAGATACGAGACGAGTGACGAGGGACGAGACGAGACAAGACAGGACGAGACGAGACGAGAGGGGACGGGACGTGCCGGACGTGCCGGACGGGACGAGGCGGGACGAGGCGGGACGAGGCGAGACGAGGCGCGACGAGGCGCGACGAGGCGCGGCGAGGCGAGGCGAAAAGCGAGGCGAGACGAGGCGAGGCGTGCGCGGGCGCGATTTCTCTCACAAGGTAGTTTAAAAATGGCGGACGACAGGTAGACGTTTCCGTCGCGGCTGCACGCGCTGCCAGGTACGGGAAACGCGCGCGCGCGCGAGTGTATTCTCACCAGCGGCGGTGGTATCGTCGATCGCGGCGAAGACGCGTCAAAGTTGGACCGAAATCTGCGTGGATTATGGCGTAAATCATGCCATGAAGGCGCGAAGCGCGACGTGAATGAAGTCCGGATCACCTTGTCACCGTCGCTCGTTACATTCCGCTGGCGCGATTGCAAAGCGCGGAGGGAACGGGGGAGGAAGGAAAGCGGATCAACCATCGGCGCCGCATGTCGAACCGCGCGCTCGCATACGTAAGTAAAGGAGAAGGAAAAAAAAATGCTATTCGCCTCGTTAATTTTCCACGGCGGAAAACTCGATTGCATTCGATCGTCGATCTCGGCGTTTCTCCTCCCCGCGATTATCCTGCTTTCCTCCTAGAGAGATCCTGCGCGATACGCACCACGCACCGCTCATCCTGGCCTTGATCGCGCGATGGCTTCGGCTTCGGCCTTCGGCTTCGGCTTCGGCTTCGGTACCCTCGCCGAGCGATATAATTGACAGGAAGTAAAATCCATCCTCGCTCTCGCTTGTTTTTCACTGTGTGCCTGTACCCACGTTGAATCGTTTGACGTACGAACGAGGAAAGAGAGCGATGAATTCCTGTGAGACCGTGATATTTTGCCGATTACCTTATCGTAATGATTGACATAATAATGTGCAAACAGATGCCAATTTGATAAATAATCAGCAAGTATTTCCCATTTGTTTCTGCATTTTATGTGGGTTGATTATCGAAAATTGCGCGTAGTAAAATATTAAAAATTATATGCTCTCCTATTTTAAAATCAATTATATATATACATAATTTCTTTTATATTGTAATACAAATACTGAATTTTATCCAATACTATTCATTCTTCTCATGAATCTTTATCTTTTTGGGGAAGAATATGTATGTATGATATACATTTTGTAGGAGTAATAGGCAAGATGTTTGTGTCATTTACAAATTATCTCCGAGGGATATAAAACTTATGTTGCCAATGTACAATTAGAATGTTTAAATATGTACACTCTTATATATCCAATGACGCAACATATTACCTGTGTTGAGAGATTAAGGATAGAATTTGTTACATATGCGCATTATACGCAGCGTATATATAATCTATCTATCTAATTGGTATATTGTTTATTAAATATCTCATTCTTACAGAAATGTAATCATTTCTTTATTTCTTATTTGTTTTTCTTTTTTATCGGATATTGTTATTTTATTTAAAGAGATTTCGTTAAAATTTTCAAGATAACTTATCTTATTTTCTAATAGAAAGGATTCCATGCATAGAAATCCAACAATCTTTAACAAAAAAAAAACTGTCAAATTACTGTTACTATTTCTACAAAGCTTTTTGTCAGCGTGTCTAAACATTTGTGCAAACATTTTATGTTTACTTACCTAAGTACCTAAGTAAGATAAGTTTTAAGCAGAGCACTAGAGTAAAATGTGCTATCATTCCTGCCAGATAACTCGGGAAAATCAATCATGTTGCGTATGCATTATTGAAATAAGTGAAAATTCTGATACCAGAATAATGTCCAGTATTTGTCCAAAAAGTTTAAATTATCTAAGAATGAGATCTTAGTTTTATAGCTGTAAAGGTAAAATCTGTTTATGTTGTTTTGTTCATTACAGAACCTTCTAATTATTATGATTAAATGTTTTTTAATGTGTGGTTAGTAAAAACAAAGATAAATAGGAAAGACTGTTCTAATAAATTTGAACATGGTTTAAAAATTTATATGCCTGTTTTTCTTGGAGCAGATTTTTCATTTTTTTTTTATACAGTTGCATTATGTGTGCATATGTGTGCATATGTATGTATGTATGTATGTATAAATATTGGTATGTATAAATATATATGCTTATATTTAGTGATGTTGTCTTCTTTGTCTGTTGTAAACAGGTAAATATATCTGCACAAATTACAAACACATAACAATGGAACACTCAGAGCTAGTGGCAGAAATGGTACACGTTGAAAGACTGACGACGCAAGAACGGTTACATTTGGCACGTCATCGTAGACTACAGCAATTGAAAGTATGGAGACAACGTGAAAAGGAATGGTTACGGCATCAAACTAGGCATACAAGTAACAAGCGGCACATATATTTTAGCGATAGTGTTATGTTATTAGAAGCCGCTGCAAGAAATGATATCGATGAAGGTAAGAGATTTTATGTGTACGCTATGAGAAATATAAACATTATCATTATGTTGGAAACATTTGTTTCTTTTTAGTAAGACGACTTTTGAAGAAAGGTGTAAATCCAGACTCGACAAACGAAGATGGTTTAACGGCGCTGCATCAATGTTGCATAGATGATAATGAAGAAATGATGAAGTTACTTATTGAATTTGGTGCTAATGTAAATGCAGAAGATAGTGAGAAATGGACACCATTACATGCTGCTGCTACATGTGGTCACTTACACTTAGTCAAATATCTTATTGCCAGAGGTGCAAATTTATTAGCTGTTAACGCTGATGGCAATATGCCATATGATATTTGCGAAGATGAAAAAACATTGGATTGCATCGAAGGTGATAAGATTTTAGATGCTGTAACATTTCCTTAATATTTGAAAGTTGTCATTTTCATTTTCATCAAACATATACAGTAGAAATAATAAAGTATGATATATTCATATAAATTATGTTCTTATAACATAGGAGAGATGGCGAGGCGAGGAGTTACTCAAGAATTAATAGATGAAACAAGAGCCTCAACCGAGGTTCAAATGTTACGGGATTTGCAAAAAATTGCTTCTTTAGGAGGTGATCTTGAATATAAGGATCATCAAGGTGCCACACCTGTATGTGTTCCATGTCTTTAATCTAAGGAAAAAATTGATTAGTAAATTATTTACAATTGCTATAATAATAACTATATTACAATTTTTATTTTTACAGCTTCACATTGCAGCGGCAAATGGCTACTTACGAGTTGTAGAATTTCTTCTTGATCAACATGTATCAACAGATGTAGAGGACAATGACAAGTGGCAGTCAGTTCACGCAGCTGCATGTTGGGGACATGTAAGCTCAATATTCTTCAAAAAACAAAAAAAAAACCTAAATATTAATCTAATATATTATATATGATGTTATGTTGCAGTTGGAAGTACTTGAATTATTGGTGCAGAATGGAGCAGACCTAAATGCAAAGAATAAGCACGATGAAACCCCTGCAGGTAAAAATTATTGACTCGTTTTGATTTATATTATATGCATCTTGTTCAATTTTTTTTCACATCTTAATAATATGATGCAGATATATGTGAGGATCCGGAAATTAGGGAGAGAATAGTGGAATTGAAAACGGAACAGGAGAGTAAACGACTTCGTGAAGCACAGGGACGGAGGGTACGCAGATCGCAGAGCATAAATACGCGGACACAGAGCGTGCGTCGAACATCCATACGAGACAAAGTTCTTACTACTAAGAAAGATGCCCAAGAAGAAGCGCGTTTTAGGTTACAAGCACAACAGGTATGGCAAAATTTCGAGGACTAAAAATATTTTAAACATTTTTTACTTTCTCTTTGAGATATATATACATGTATAAGAAATTAATGCTGAATATTGAATTTTAAGTGTATAAATAAATAATAATGTCAAACATACTTCAGACATACGTTGGTGCTCCTGCACCTAGTATTCCGCCATTGGAAAATAATACACAGGAAATAGGAGACCACGAGACTGATTCTAGCACATTGACGTCAGCAGTGCGAAAAGGTCCCGAAGGAAAAGACAATGAGTCTTTTCTTCATGAAGATGTTGATAAAGATTCAGGTACATTCCAAATGTATTCTTACTTGCAATGGTTGTGGTTAAGTAGAATATTGTAATAAATGGTAGCTTTTTATGCGGAGAGATTTTTGGAAAATATATATTTCGATCATGTCGTAATTCAAAAATTGCACATATGTATATATATATATATATATATATATATATATATATATATATACACATATCATGCTCATTTACCCCATAAAGTACAAAAGAAACACAGGAAAGTATTTGTAAATATAAAATTGAAAAAAATTGTATATATATGATATATGTATATCTGTCACATACTCACTAAAAATAAGAGAGAATTATTATTATACTGAGAATAATAATAATTATGAAATTTTTTAAATATCGTACTTGAAGAGCAGACAGTAAATTCGACACATAGAGAAACGCGACTTTAGATATATTAAGAAATAAAATTTTACTCATCAATACAGACAGAGAAGAAAATTGAATAGTTTTGGAAGATTAAATAGTCCCAAGTATATAGATTGTATATTAATCGGTTAATTGCAAAATTGCCATAAATGTACTCTGTTAAACTCACTGTGTTAGCTGTTCGATTATTTACCAGCTTTTTCTTTTTTTTCACTATTGCGTGCTCCTGAATAATTGCGAGGTTAGTTTTCTATGTCACTTTCCTATTTCTTTAAAATTATTACATTTCACGATCTCTACAATGCATTTAATTATGTTATCTTTTTTGTATCATATACATCACATGATACACCAAACATTATTTGCTCATAGTGTACGTAAAACATCTACGTGTGCTATGCATAAACGCTCTAAAAAAAGAAAATTAAAATATACATACACACATATACACATCACATCTCGTTTTATCTACATCCAATCTCTTTGATAAGACTTACATGATACATGCTTTCTTAGCATATCTTTGTGGACCGCGCGTTAGCAAAGCTTAGCGGCCACTAACAAGCGCAATATAGAATAATAATCAAACGAACGATATTTACTGTAGATATGTCGAATTGTTTCTATACTTTCTTACATAAACTGGAGCCTAATCGATTTAGAGGACTATATATACCATATTAGTAGGACGCACAATAAGTAGAATTTTAAAAGATATATTATTCTCTCTATACTCTTTATATATATATATATATAGTATTACGTGCAAGTTTTTTTTTTTTTTTTTTAGAGTAAGTATATATTTAGAAGACTGTTACTTTTTCACATTTCGTAAACTTTTGTCGGATAATGCGCTCACATAGTATAATGAGCGAATTTTGGGTCTAAGGCATGACTTAACTTAAAGTATTGATCGCAGTTTTTTACAAAGTTTTATGTATATTCGTTATCAGATTCTACATTTTCGAAACGTATTGAAAGTCGATAGCAAACTATCCGCTAATCAATAAATGCTTCATATCCATTGTATTATTTACCGTATTGGAAAAAATGGCATAGAATCATATTACTTTCTTTTTATTAAGATAGTCAATCCAAAAATAAAAAGAACATATCAGATATATAGTGAGATGACAAGCCATTGGCGGACAAATTACCAGCAGATCTTTATATTTACGTTTCCTAGATAATGATTCTGCTCTAGATGAAATATTCTAAAATCACTTCGTTTTTCATTCGATAAGAGATCCCAATGATAGATCATGTTCATTATAACAATAATAATGCGCAAATATAATTAGATCAATCGTTTGTAGTAGCTGTTAAATCATTGGAGAAATTTCATTGTAGTAAAAATGTGAAAAGACATACAGATATATCATAGTCGTTTAAACACAGTTTCCTGCTCTTTATAACGTAACAGCCGTGTTTGCCATATACATATCGTCTCTCTGTCTCTCTCTTTCATATTTATTAGTTTTGCTTGCGTAAAACGCAACCACTTATAATCACGTTTATTATAAATATTGTTTAGTAATATACTGTGTTCGTACACCGAGATGTGCATATGGTGATCCTACTTGATGCAATGTTTTCGAAATGCTTGTTGCTAAAAAGAGCATGTCAGAGGCTTGGCGCATGAGATTCATAGTTGACGTCCTCGTTTTCCTTTTTTTTTGTTTTTTTTTGTTGTTTTTTTTTTTGTTGTTTTTTTTTAATCGGTGCATAGGAATAGAAAGTGGGGTAAAGGTGGAGGGACGAAAGAGTGGCGATTGCGTCAATCGAAAAAGTCAGCATACTTGACGCGGGAGGGGGAGTAGCACATTGGATTTTTACGTGTTTGCCTGACAGCAGTGACAGGGCTTGACCCGCCGGTCGGCAGTCAGCAGCAGTCGCCGATTTATGCTACAGACAGCGATACCAACGGCAAGATCAACATACATGTGTCCGTTGTTTTCGTCAAATCCTTATCAGATCTGAAGAAGCAACGGGCGCAGAATCGGCACATATCCGGCGGCTCGTTGGACGCTAATGGAAATGGTATCCCGATGCCGGTCTCATCCATCTCCAATTCCGACCTCAGCGCTGACGACTTTACGCAACGCTTCACTGGCAATACCAGTGAGATCGTCGGCGACAATCACACGGAGAAGAACTGCTGCACCGTCATGTAACGCACTTATTTACGTAAATCTCTCCCAATTTCGTTTTTCCTCGTCTTCCTCACGTTATTGCGCGAGAACATCAACAGACTGAATGTTTGCGCTTCTCACAAAAAAGAAAAAAAATGAGAATGTGTTCCTGCGATTATCTTCTAGTATTTTTTTCAGAGAAGACTCAATGTGTGTGCTGTGTTCTTAAATTTCTACAATTTTGCAAATTGTACATACATTCAATCCAATTTCGATGCGTGATTATTTTTTATTGTTTATTTATTTATTTTTATTTTTTTTTTTTTATATTATATACATGGCGCGATATATTTGTACATATGAGATATATGTATGTATATATCGCAAATAATATCTGCAGCATGTTGACAGCTTTAAATTCGAGACAATTATCGCGCTGTTCTGATAATGCGCGAACGGCATGTACTTAAATCTCGTAACAAAATAGCTTTTTCCTGCAATTATCACAAAATCGTGAAAAAATTGTAGCGTTTAAATAAGCTTCATGTCAACAAACGAGAATACCTTGTTACGATAAAGTTAAAGAACGTGTACTTACACATTCACAGAGATATTGCATTTTTCTTTAAATTATTTATAACTCTTCAACGCCTAAGACATTTAAGTATTGTACAGACTTTTACTTTTATTTATTGCTATATTAAAAGAAATGTATAGATTATACAGTTTAGAGAGTAAGAAATGTGTATTACATTTGTAGAGGTATTGCTTGGATGCGATTTTTTTTCTAGTATATTTTTCCGTAAACAGGTATAAGATTATCAAACAAACTTCCAATGTTTTCTATGAGACTCTAGGTGTAAGAGGATTAAGTGAAAACCGTTTTTTATATCGATTTAAAGATTATTTGTAAATTTTAATATGTGGTATTTATCTATATTACAACTATAGACTTCACCGTTTTTAACCGTTTTTAATTTCTTCGTTCTACGTATAGCAAGTCACGTACATCACATTTATAACTTACAACTTGCACCTGTTTTGCCCCTTTGACGATGCTTAAGGCGTTTAAGTTTAAATTCCATATTGTGTATCGATATGTAAATTTTACGTAAAAAGTTTATGTGTGTGTAACGCCAGATTCAGCAATCAAAATAGAGTACAATAGTGACAAATTTCAAAATACTCGCGTATGTGCGTATAGGATTATGTGTAAAACGAAATAATCCATTTTTGCGAACGGGCGTATTTTTTTGTATACTTCGTGTCAAACAATATTGAAATTTTAAAGAAACCTTTTGATGGGAGTAAATAGTACAAATAAACACTCGTACATTCCTCCGCGATGCAATAAATGTTGCCAAATTCTGCGTGATTCTTGGCTGCGATCGTATTTCGCGATTTATCCTAAATCTTGCAATTGCGTTAATCGTAAAATTTTAATACTGCCATGATTATTTCAATATGGTAAAGATATTATTTATACTTGGTTTGAATATGAATGTCTATGACGAAGATTGATTTCAATGGCTGTATTTGAAACGAATTTATGTGACATCTATCATCTGTTATGTTATTGTAATATATATATAGTAATGTTATATATACATATAAAAATAAAATCACTGTATATATGTTATCTTATATTTTAATATTATTTCTATAATCCTCAAACACGCGGTGTATATCAAATCTCATATGCTCTCGATATACAATTATCTCCTAGTTATAAATATTAATTAATTTTTTCTAATACATTACCGACTTGAGATGCTTGTGAGTAATTTATAAATACACGTTTCGTTATTTAATATTTTTCTACACACTTATATAAATTTTCTTCATTCTGAATTTTCTGTTCTATGTATAACATATTATAACACATGTACTTGTGTATATTTACTTTAAAATATAATTTGCAATATTATGTATATACTATATAATATTATGTATATGATATTCTCACAGAAGCGGTTTCTCTCCTCTTCAATTGTGATACTTTTGTGAATCAATCCGACTTGTTATCAGCATGAGAATGCGAATCCCGTTTGTGTAAGACCAGTCGCATAACAGGTCAGGAACTGAATAGTGACTGATAATTGCCGGATGATGAGACAGTCATGGTGATACGAGCTTGTGCGATGGCTTAGCGGCCAGAGAAGGAAGATTACATCAGTCAACTCCCAATTGAGAACTGATTTAATCAAGCATGTGCATCATTTGTCTCTTCTGATGCAACAACCGCGCCCTATTGAGCTTCATTAGAGCCACCAATTGGCAATAAACAAGAGCGTGCTATTAAATATAATATTATTTAATATATTAAATTTAATATTAAATTTAATTTCAAAAATGGCAATTAATATCTATAAAATATTAACTAGATTATCTAAAAATAAACATCAGTTTATCATTTTATTATTCTTTCTTTTATTTTATATTTTCATTTTATTTTATTGTTTGTATATTATTTATTTTATGAATAACATTTTATAATACACGAAAGATAAACATGAAATTGTTTTTAAAAGACACTATTTGCAAGACTCTATAGTGTCCTCGATCAACAGTGTTCAACAGTTACGAGGTCAATGGCGTCTGGTAATCATATTCCTCCAGCTGAAACGTGACAAATTTATGATATCATGTTACATCAGACGAATAATTATTCTCGTCGAAACGTGTGAGTTTAGTTCTAAAAACTTTTTTCAAATTGTAACAACAAATTTTCGAAATGTCAAACCATTGAAGATCATTTCTTATACTTTTATTCACAAAAATTAGAAAAATTTTTGAATTAATAGTTGTAAAATGAATTATGGATATACGCATATATCTCATAAACAATTATTTTCAATAAAATTTTTGTGTTAAATTAGTGGCTCTTAATGGTTTAATTTATAAAAAAAGAAAAATTATGTATTATAGTGAATAATAATTTGGATCCATACTTGTTGAGATATAATAAAGTAAGTAGTCTAGACACACATTAAATTATTATTTCTAAATATTTAATAAAATATGTTGGAGCTGCCTCGCAAAAAAGAAATTAAGGGTAATATAAGAAATAGACAAATAAGGTAATATTTAAATGCATATACTATGAAAGCATTAATTGTGCAGTTTACATCTTAACTTGTATTAATTTTCAAAAATATAAATTATTAAAACAATTATACAAAAAGAGAAATTATATTTAATATCTTATAAAAATTAATAAAACATATAAAATATATAATTTAAAAAAAATAGTTATACAGCAATTTATAAAAAATTAATATTACATATCTAGTAATTATTTTTATGATGTAGTTATAATAAAAACGAAAACATGAATACGAAAATAAGTGAAATAATATTATTATTTTCTTCTTTACAACACAAAAAGTATCTAAACATACAACATAAAGATATTACGTTTTAGTGATCAATAAGATGGAACTTTATACGTTTATATATACTTTAATGTACATATATGTACATAATCTCGGACCCTTTTCTTGTTTCCCTTTCAAACGGCGAGCAATGGAAAGGGTTTTAAAGGAAGAACCGACTCCGCGATAATGCGAGTGTTTCATGTTCATAAATATGTAAATTTAAATAAGAGCCATGAGAAATGTAATTTATAGAATTTATAGAATTTGGTTGAATACATTAATGTAGACTGGTGTGCACTAAATCTATCCTCATTTAATTTTCTGCACAGATATTTATATAACATACTAAACTGCTAAATTATATCTCAAGAACTAATGCTGATGTAATAGAAAATCTAACGGTATTTTTCTAGTATAATATCCGTACAATTTTTCGATTGCGACTAGTCGGAATAAAATTAAAATGCTCAAATCTGAAATCTCAAAGTATGAGATGTCAAAAATTTCAAAATATTTCATTTTTAGCACATATACATTTACGAAAATGTTCAGAAATAGATAAAATATAGAATGTTTAAAAATAACTTAAGCAGCTTATTAAAAAATAGCTAAACAATCGATAGAAGGGCTCAAGGAGCAACGAATGTCCGTATAATTAAAAAAAACCCGAATAAAAAAACAAAAACGCGCGATATTTAATTTTAATAAATTAGAATTAGAGTAAATTAATGAACAAACAAAATACAATTTACAGAACGTGAATAATATAATATAAATAAGACGCAAATTATAAAAGAAAAAACGCAGACGTTTCAGCTCTGGATAGTTCTAGGTAATCTGGACTTTCTTTAGTGTTAAAAAAATAAAAAGTGAAGTATAAAGAGCAAGCAGTCAGTGAATAAAAAATTTAGAAAAAAGTTATCAACAATGTAAAATACCATAACGGATTGGTTGTTAAATGTATTGAGTCCCTCCAAAGGCTTCACAGTAAAATTCAAATATCATTATCCACCACAGAGTTGTACCAAGAATTTGCGACAGGGAATATCATCGACGTATAGTATGGACTAAGCGATCTCTACATGAAAGCCTTTCGAAAAGTGTCCGAATAAGACAAAATGTAGAATAAGACAAAGAGGGAACGAAATAGAGGGCAATTGCTCTCTCTAAAGCTATTGAATAGAAAGAGACAGAGCTTGACCTTTACCAATCGCTTTCTCTTTCTTTCCCCTTTCTTTCGGCCGGTCATATTTTCCTATACCTGAGCGCAGTCCATACTATACGTCAATGGGGAATATAATTGATATCAGTGAAAAAGATAGCTAATGAAATATAGCTAGTTCAAAAATAAATATGGAACCAATTCTAATCAAATATTTAAATACGTTTAAGAGTTTACATTAGTTAAAGCTAATCTAAATCTAATCTGGAATTTTATTTTATATATTATTCTATGTTTTATTCTGTCGCGGATTCTATTGCAAATTCTGTATAATGTAAAATTATAACACGCCATATATATAATAAAAAAACCTCTAAAAAAATTTTTTTTAGAAAGATTTTTTTATATATAGAGATTTTATTATTTTTTGTTAGTTTTCTAAAATTAAAATTAAAATTAAATTTTTTTAAATGTGTGTATATAACAGAATTTTACATCACATAGAATTTACAATAGAATCCGCGATAGAATAAAACTTAAAATAATACATCGTTTCTTCTTTATTCTATCTCACTTTGTAAATTAGACGGCCGTGCGATTCATTCGCGCGTTTTATTGTTAGTAGATCTTTTTCTTATTTTTCTCTTTACTATATTTTTCTCTTATTTTACAAACCAAGACGTAATAAAGGAATTGTATGACGGACTAAAGGAATGACAAAAATAAAATTCTTAAATAACACATCAAAACGCTTGCCAACTTCAGAAAAATATGTATATATGCAACTCAATAGTCTGCTCGCTCCTTTTCCTGGAGTCACATAGTAAAACAAACTATTTATTTATTCCCAAGTTAACAAGTGTTTGATGCTACTTAAAAACTTTGTTTTTGTCATTCTTTTATTCTGTCATATAATGGCTTGTAAAATGAGAGAAAAATGTAAAAAAAGAAAAAAATATATCTATTCAAACGCGCGAACGAATCGCACGCGGTTCGTCTAATATTATAGAGTGGGAGAATGAAGAAGAAACGATTTGGTGGGGAGAGATATGTCTGCCTGTGACTTGTGACAGCATAAAAACTGGGTGCTGTCCCTAACATACCGCAGTAAGTTTCAATACTCTAATTCCGTGAGGAGTCCGGAGTTCATTTCAAAAGGGCTCGCGTTTGAAGAATTTGAAGAATTTGAAGAAAATTTGGCTCGAAGAAAATTCGGCACAACCAATAGTTTGATAAATTTTTCTCTGGCATTTCGATTATACATCGAATTCAAGGTAATACTTAAAATAAAGAACAAAGCTTCAGTCTATTCTTTTTGAAATTCCGCGAGAATGTCTATATATAAAATAATGGTATTTAAATATAATTAAAATAATTTTTAGCATAAATGAGATTTTTTTAGTTGAGATGTTTGAGCAACGGTTTAATTTATCAGGTGATCTCCGCGTATAACATTTATAAAATTCTATTAATGTACACTTATCCTTTTCATTTATCTGCAACAATAATTCGTTTTCATAATCGTAGAATAATTATAATAAATGTTGAAAATTAATGCTTTCAAATTTCCATTATATTTATATTATCTATATTTTATATTGATTTTTTTCCTGATATACTATATACTTAATACAAATATAGAAAAATTATATATCCTGTATACTTATATATTACTTGTAATATAACATGTTCTTCACAGAACGAATGAAAGAACTAGAATTATAGGATTAGATATTGTAATGTATGTAATGTACAAAGACCGTTGGCAAGGAACATTCCGAGTCTTTCCAAGTGATTTCGACATGTTCTGATTTATAAATAATTTTCCAACTTGTGTAATTTTAAAAAATGTATGTACTGTATATACACATATCTGTATTATTACATATCGCAGGTATATCAAGATATTCGCAGTGATAAATAATCGCAAATGAAGAAATTTTAATCCATAATCATAACGTCAAATTCAATCAAATTAACTTTTTTTAGCTGTTTATATTAATGTATAAAGATTTAAACTGCTGAAAAATGTAAAGAATGTGATGCTTTATTCCTGATGCATAGAATTTATGATAAATTTATCGATATTAGGAGATACCCAGATAGCAATTATATTATACATTCTTATTGTTAGTAGAAAAATCGTATTAATTTATTCACAATAGATGTCGCATCTTCATTAATTTTTACGAAAATTTTCAAGTAATTATAATATTTCCAGTTTCCTCTACTTGTATGATATTATATCAATAAAAGTGCGATTAAGTATTAACTAAATAATGCAATTATCAAAAGACACAATCTCGCATAAAAAACTACGCATATAAATAATATAATATCAATTATAAAACCGCTTGAATACTAGGGGATGTGCTATCAGATTTTATCTAAAAATTGCCAACGGTATCGCAATCAATTTCAGACTTTTACTGTATAGGACTAAATGTGATGATGTTGTAAGAATGCCGTGTAAAGATATAAAAATAGAAGGAGGAAATCGCGTATTATTTATGTTGACAATTTTAGTAAATTACAACCGATAAGCATCGGTGGCGTTTGTTAGTAATATAGTTATTTTAAGAACGAAATCATAAATCAACGAAGCTCCATGATAATTTTTGGATAGAGAACAGATACATAATTGCTTGTTGCAATTCGAAAGATTAAGTAATTGATTGATAAATAACTGAAAGTCATCTATATATATATATACTTTCGACCGCGTGATACATGCATGTCAATTTTGCCCTTGATACAGAAGCACTGGAAGCATATATATATATATTATATATAACTTTTATAATATTTTTTACAAAATGTTATAAAAGTGTAATACAACAAGTGTGTGCGAGTATCATCACACAAAGTAATTTTATCAGAGTTTTATTAGAGTGAGCTACGTTACCTTCACATTTTAAAACTTTTTTAATTATACTTTATATTCATATAATTTGTTCACTAAGTTATAATAGGAAAATCATTTTCCTTAACTATTTTGCCAATTTTATTAAGATCAGTCTTGAATAAGACACTAATTCAAAGATACCAATTTTAAACATTTTAAAACGTTCATAACAAGAGCGGATGTTATCGAGAGAAATTTTGTCGCGTTTATCGCGATTAAATAAATTACACTCTAAATTAAGAATTCCAAGAGTATTACGAAATCCGGTGACCACGATCCACATTTACCACGCTCGAGCTGACGATGAGTTATCGGATTACGATAAGAAATCCGCGCGAATCGAGCGTCCAATCAGCTTGAGAATCAGTTGTGATCAGCTGGTCTGTCCTTCTACTAGCCTGCTTTGGTCACACGCACATGGGACACGCACGTTTCGTGACGCGCAACGCGCAACGCCGAACGCCGAACGCCGAACGCCGCTCGCCGCCTCGTTGACGGCCTCGGGGCCTCGGACACTCACCGCGGATACTCGGACGCGAGATGCGATTCCGTCCGACGAGAACGGGACACGTGACACGTGACACGTGACACGTGACACGTGTGTAGAAGCGCGAGTCGCGCCTAGCGCGCGCTTCCCTTCGTTCTCGCTTCTCGCTCGCCTCTCGCCTGCGTCCTCGTCATACCGTCACCCGTCACGCCACAGTCGCCACATACCATATACCGCAATACCGGTTTAACACGTGCTATCCTGTTATCGTGGAAGTGTTATATGGAGGACATTGTGTCTAGAGTCCGTGGACGGCTGTTGAATCCGAGCTCGTTTGATATCCGAGGATGTCGCGATCCCGTCGCGTGATATTACCCGTCGTTATGTTACCGTATCTGGTCCGAGCTGTTCTCGCCAACAATTGCTCTATTATGTCGTATCAGTGCGGCACGGTCGGCACGCTCCTCACGTGTCCGATCATTGAACGCAACAATGTTTGTCCTTTCAGCAGAATGCCGGGTCAGCTGGAGGAGATCAAGGGCAAGCGTGCCACCTTCGGTATGGGTTGCTTCTGGGCGGGAGATTCTCTCTTCGGGGCACTACCTGGAGTTATCAGGACCTGTGTAGGCTACGCCGGTGGCACCAAGGAGTTCCCTGTATACAGAGACATGTATTATCCGTTATTCAGCACAATTGCAATTTTGATGTTAAAAATGTATAGGATTGTGCATAATAATTTATTTTGGTTGTTCTTGTAGGGGAGATCATACAGAAGTCATTGATATTGAATATGATCCGGAACTAGTATCCTTTACACACTTGCTGAGCTTGTTTTGGAATAATCACGAGTATGGTCTAACAACAAAGATTAAGAGACAGGTATTTTATCTCGATGCACATATTAATTGTATATTTTATAATATATTATTCTCAGTAGAAATATATTTGAATAATTTGTGTAATCCATATCATTTGCGTATTAATATTCTAAATGGAATTTAATTCTTTCAGTATATGTCACTAATTTTATACCATGACGAAGAGCAACGGTTGTTGGCTGAAAAATCTCGTGAGCAAGAACAGAGACAGCGTGGGGAAGTTTTTGTCACCGAGATTAAAAAGTTTTCAAAGTTTTACCCAGCGGAAGAGTAAGTTACCACTTTGTAATCGCGCGCGCGAGTATGCTTATATAATTATTTTTCTTATTTAGTAGAATATAATTTTATCTGTCTAGATTCACATCTTCAAAATGTATATAAATTTAGATACATCTTATTGATCAAACCAGAGAAACAGTTATTTATTTCATAATTTTGAATATTTTTTTTTATGATATGATGATCTGAATATCTGAGATGAATATCTGAATATTTTCACTATATGAATTTTTACTATAATTACAAATAGATATTGATATATAGATGCAAATCTTGTGGCATATTTATAAATAATTACTAAAATTAAGTTGCAAGTAGTTTAATAGATCTAATCAATGTATTTAATTAAGTTAAATAATATATACTATTTTTTGTGCAGTTACCATCAGAAGTATCGACTACAGAGTCATCCGTGGCTCATTGAGACAATGGGTATCACTACACCAGAAATCTTGCGCACCTCTCCTTTAGCAGCCAAATTGAATGGTTATATAGCTGGTGCTGGTACTCTTGAACAATTTGAAAAGGAATTACCAAACTTGGGATTAAGTGAAAAAACGACGCAATATTTAACAAAGTACATTATCGAGAATCAAGGCAGTGGTTTGTATTGCTAGTGGATCTAGTAAGAGAACGCGAAAAGACATTTTCTACTATTAGACATAGGCTGAACATACTCGATGTCTTTGCGACAAGAAAATTCGAATCGACGATTTTCCTTTTAGCTAAAATACCGAGATATTAACAGTCTCGGAGTGATATAAACTTCATCTAAAGGAATAAATAACGAAATCATAGTCTTCAATTAATTTTTTTGCTACGAAAACCCATTATATTACAATATAACTAAGATTTTAATTAAATTATAACAAAATTATATAGTTAATTACATAATATGAGATTAAGGTAGTTGTCTCGCAAATCGTAATTAACAAGAAAAATTTGAAAATTTAACTATACGTTAATAAATATGGTATCTACACGATTGTACAATTTAAAAGTAAATTTCGGCCGTCCCAAACGCGAAATAATTGGTATCAAAAATTGCACTTTTTATACGTGTCGCATACGAAAAACATACGAAAACCTCGTATTTTGAATTTTAATAATTAGAAAGGATAACAAGAAAGTGATAAAAAACTAATACAAAGTAGGACACTTTAGGAATTCTATTACAAAAAAAAAACCCAAATTATTGACCGTTTAGTTTTAGAAATACAATAATAAAAGGATCTCACGGTATTATTTCATCCTTGTTGTTCACCGAAAGTTAAACAAAGACAGATGATGCCCGCGAACGTTGCGGGCGTTGATTTGACAATAGCGTAGAGAATGTCCAAAAGCTTTTAATTAGTAAACGTAGGTAGTCAGTAGCCGGATGTCTTAAAACGTTGACCCAGAGTATAAAATTTTGAATTGTTCTGTTGCGAGACAAATATCTTAAATATGATTTTGTTATCTATTGCTACATTAATAAATTCTTGCTGTATATATCGAGATATTGCAGTGATTCATTGCTAAGTCATTAAAGAAATTTGTTACTTAATATTTTACTTACATAATGGCAATTTCTACAAAAATATCAATTTATGTGATGCAATGAAATTATGCAATTCTCTCTATATATACATAGAAAAAATAATACTTTTGACAGATTAGCGTTTTATCGCATTGTGCAATAGTAATTTTTCATTTGATTCTGTTGTCGTAGAAATATTATATACTTTCGAATAAATTTTAATTTAAGAAGCTTTATTATAAACATATATAATTTTCTATATCAATATTGGCATGAAAAGATTATTTTCAAGTAGATTTTAATTAGAGAAGCTTTATTACAAAAATATGTAATCTTATAGATAAATGATTGTCTTTCTTTTCATTAAGGAAAAGTTTCAGTCTGTTTCAGTCAAAGACAGTATTGCCAATTCGTATCAAATCGAGCCATCGACTTAAGAATAACTCAATATGATCTAGCATTAGTTGTGGATATGGTCAAGCGGGAGGATTTTGATTTCTGATATAAAAGTAACGAGTTGACAACACATAGGTATATAAAGTACATAGATGTAGCATACAAATAAAAAAAGAGTCCATAGATGTATAATTAATAGACTAATCACTCCTGTTTTTTGGAGGGATATTAAAGACGACATTAGTAAATGAGAACAATAAAGATTAGATGCTTTCCTTGTCCGATTGTGTAGTTAGCGGGGAGAAGAAAAGAAGAGATCACCTTTTACATTCTCTATTTTTTTTCTGAGGCGTAGAGTGTTCTCAATTTATTATATAAATCTATGGTTTAAACATAAGAAGAATGAATCGAAGAGTTACTGACTTTGGTGTATATATGCTTGTACTTATGGGTGGCATATTCTACAAATTGAATCTTGCATATTTGTGTTCCGAACCATGCAGATGGAATTGCCCAAAATACACTGAAGTTAGTGTAATGCTTCTCTTATCGCTGTTATCAGCTTTAATTTATACAAAAATCCTCCGCTCTTTTTACAAGTGGTCACAAGTCTATGATTTAGAAATTTAGATACACAGCACGCACATCTGAAGTTTTATATGCAAAGTTCGAATTCCTCTTTCCTCCTTCCTTCCTTCAAGATTTCACTGTATGTAAAAAGAATGTTTGAACAATATAAAACTAACTCTAGATTAGTGTTATTAAAAAAATATAGGCAATATATATTTTATATAAAATAAAATTTATTTTATCCAAAATGTATATA